CAGCCTTGTCTGCACATTTGCAATCACCTGAGGAGCTTTAAAAATTACTGGTGGGAGTGGGGTAGGGGGAGGTCCTACCTCCCAGAGAATCTGATAGAATTGGTCTGGGAGTGGCCTGGACGTTGGGATTTTGAGAGATCCCCAGAGGCTTCCACTCTTCAGCCAAGGCCAGAACTTCCATAGCAGAGGTGCCTGAGGGGGGCAGTAACATGAGCAAGGGGGGACTGATAAAGTTTACCTGATACNTCCCCAGAGGCTTCCACTCTTCAGCCAAGGCCAGAACTTCGGTAGCAGAGGTGCCTGAGGGGGGCAGTAACATGAGCAAGGGGGGACTGATAAAGTTTACCTGATACAGCTGTGGGGGACGGATTGTGTGTGCAGGAGGCTGGGCCAGGTGTGAGCTCAAGCATCCTGGATAGGGTGGGGCAGACAACCAATACCCTTGATCTTCAATGGCTCCCCACTCCCTGGCTGTATAGCCCTGAAGAGGGGCGAGGCCTGGGACCAGCTAGGGAGAGCATGCTTGCCAAGTACACCATAGGGTGCGTTCCAAGGAGGGGCTCTGTTCTGGGTGCAGCAGGGTGTGGGAGGCAGGCAGGGAACTGGGCTGGTTTGCTGCTCACTGCCTGTAAGCACAAAGCGAAAGGCTGACCTTTGAGCCAGCTCAGCAGCCCATCCTCACTCTTCGAATGGCTGCAGTAGGGTTACTGTTTAATGAGCACCCCCCTGTGAGGCCACTGTTCTAGACACTTTGCACATTATGGCTCAATCAGCTTTGAGTAGGTAGAAACCTAACAAAAGAGGAAACAAGGCCCAAAGAGGCTGTATAACTTGCTAGGATCACACAGAAACCAGATCCAGATCCAAAGCCATGATATTCCCTTCACCCTAACGCCTCGACTCACGTTCTTTCCTTTGGCTGAAATGCTGTTTCCATCCCCTCGGCTTACCTACACTCCACCATCCGCCAAAGCTCAGCTCGAATCTCAACTCGCCTGGAGTTCCTTTGGAGGCTCTGGTGCGCTCCTCTAACTCTGGTCTGCAGTTGGCCTTGGGCACCAGGCCACACTACCTTGTGTTTCTACTTTCCCTGTGAGTCATGTCTCCTGGCTCAGCTGTGAGGGCTCCAAGGCTAGGACCACACTCAGTCTTCTGTAGGTCCTGGGCCTCAGTGTCTGGGGCCGCCAGGGACAGGATTAGTGTGAGGCAAGCAAGGTGCCTACTGCAAAATTCAGGAAGGCGCTCATGCTTGGAGTGGCTTTGTGTTTCTGCTGGGGAAGGATGTAGCAGACACAGGCGCTGCTGGGGATGAGCTCAGGGCTCTGAAGGTGAGTCACCCAACAGGAAAATCCACTTCTGAGGACTCCTCCCTAGTGTTTGGGTGTTGAGGTGAACTTACCAACTGATTAATATATTGTGCCTATATCAACACTTCTGTTCTCAACTACTAGTTTAACATTAAGGACTCGCCTTAATCAAAGGATGCTAAACCCAAAGGTTATAAAAAATGTTAATCTTTGAAATGAAAGTAAGGGTAGAATGTATCACTTTAACCAGGCCTATATGCCCAACTTTGGATGTCAAAGACCCAGTGAGACCCAAACCATCAAAGGGGTGATTGACTAATTGATGGTCATTGCTACCCTCCCACTAGATTATAGGCAGGGCCCAGCTCTGTTTCATTTACCATTTAGACCCGGTGAGCCCTAGGACATAAATGTGTTGACAACTTTATGTATCTGTTACCCTGAAGTAACCACATGCGAGCTCTCCCGCATTTCCCAATCCCCTGCAGCTGGCCAGCCAGGAGGCCACTCCTGTCACTGGGGCCCAACCTAATACAGCCAGCAGCATTAGGAACAGATTAGCTGAGTACTAACTAGTTAGGGGCTTCACAGTGTAACTGAGGCTTAGAAAATGCTTCAAGAATGAAAGCAGCACATTCTTCCATGTACACCTTGACTATACAAGCACTGACTTGGAGGCTTTAAAGAGAGACTCTCACTTTCACTATCCTGGCCCCCTCACCTGGCCTGCCAAGAGCTGGGACCCTAATGAAAGAAAGCTCGCTGTCTAAACCACACTTGTACTTGTCACTTCACTTCACTGTTGGCTGTGAGTACCCGGGGCTGCTGGTTTGGGCAGCTCGTGGCCCTTCCTCTCCTCTGTGTGGCCTGAGGAAGTGAACACTCACTTGCCTTCCTGAGCAACCCAGGGACACTCTGAAACCCAGAAGGCTTGCTGGAGAGCAGAGGGGTCAGACTTGAAGGCTCACTAGGAGGAACTCCCCTCACAACCCGGTTTTCCTGCACATGTTCAATACGAGGCGGGCCTGTGGAGGGTGTGGTTTTTTAATTTGTGGGTACCTTTAAGCTTCTTCTCTTCCCCTGCCTTGGAGGCAATTTATTAATATGTATAAAGAGTGAGCAGAAATGGTGATTTCAACCCAGCTCCCTGTAGGGGTATTAAGGTTTTACCATCTCTGTATAGTAGCAGGTCTTGGTTTTTCAGGTGCTCTCTCAGCCCCAAACAAAGGGCAGGATCCAAGGCCAAGCACTCCCATCCACCCACCCAGCCGTGGAAGGCTTGTGGGTGCCCCGGAGAACAGAGGTCCTGGCCCGCCTCTGCTATAGAGACATTTACCAGAACTACTGAGCATCCTCCAGAGCCTCTGCGGTTCCTGAGTCTTCAGGAAAGTTAAAAGTGGCTATTTTTTACTCTCAGCTCTCAAGCCGCTCTGAAGGCCTCGCTCCACTTGCTAATCATGCAGCCTGACAGGGGCCCTCACACAGGCTGGCCTCGGCTCCTGCTTTCAGTTTTTATTCTCATTTCCGAACAGCTTCCACCCACTCGCTGTTAACTCCAGACTCCACAGGCTTTTCTCTCTTTCTTGCTCATCTCCTCCAGCTGCTGTAATTTGAGGCAGGAACCATACAGACTGTTCTTTCAAGCAGCTCTCTAATGTCTTGCATAACTACCCTTCAGAAAAAGAGAGGAAAGCCACGTGTTCTAAGAAAAAAGGAATTCTGAGAAGAAAACGCCAAGGTGGTTGCACCCACAGAATAACTCCTTCCAAGAAACCAGGCAGAGGACGGGCTGAGATTTGCTCCCTTCCCATTAGTTGTAAATGAGGTTTTGGTGAAAGATAGTCTTGTTTAAGCAAATGACAACCCTGAAGGGGTAGGAGGACGTCACTGAATCCCATCATTGGGTTTGTGGGCAGGGAGGCCCCCTTGCTCTGCGGAGCAATTTAAAAACCCTTTAGAGTCATTGTTTTTGCACTTCACCACCACCTCTGGATGTCAAGTGGACAGCAAACTCTCCTCTACGATAAAGGATCCGAGGTACCAGAGATAAGGCTGCTTCCTGCTGTCTCTCTGCCCCCAGCCATCCTGGTTGCACTGTGTGGCCGGGCAGACCCCTTCTCACCTCTGATCTCTCTCCAGTGTGGTGGAACATGACACCCAGAAGGCTGGGACCAGACTAAAGTCCTCACAGAGTGCCACCGCATCTGCATAGGCTGTGACGACCTTAGAAATAATATTAAATCTATCTAAAAGGCTCCTTGGAAGACACGCAGAAGCATCCCTCCTGGTTGTGGGGAAGAGACATCAGGAAGGAAGCTAAATTACATACTCTCCCAAACATGAAACCAGGTCCATCCTTCATCGCAGGTGGAACTGCTGTTTACAGGTGACTGACTAGGGAAGGCTATGCTTTGATTTAACCCCTAGCTATTCTCCTTTGGGGCTAATAATTCTTTGTTCGGGAGTAGTCTTTCATATGGGAATTAGTGAATCCATGTTAGCTGCAACCAGGTAATCATAAGAAAGGCCAAACCAATGCAGACAGGCACAAGGTTCTTCCAGCCACCTGAAGTAAGTTAATAACCCAGCAGAGCACTGTAACATAAAGCTATCTTAACAGAGAACTAGGAATCTACTTTGTAGGTTACAAAATTTTAATCTATTAATTTTATGGCTCACCTGTAACACAGCTAGAGATCTTACAAATGGTTAGAGCTGAGAACTGCGGAGAGAAGCAGTTCGAATGCTTTATTATTTAGCTGAGAGGAGTGACACCCAGACAGGCTCAGTGACTGATCCAAAGTTATCTAGCTAATGAGTAGCACGTGACAGGTGCGTGCAGGCCTGCAGATCCCAGCACACCAGGCTTCGATCTGCAATGATGCCATAAAAGACGTGGATTAAACAGACGTGCTCACAGGCAGGCCTCCGAGGTAGACGTTGTTTCCACGCACAGAAATCACACCAAGGGGCCAGGGGCTACACAGTCAAACAACTGTGCTCCCCACTATCTCGCAGGGTCCCCTTTGTGGGCTCTCACTTGTCTGGATTCAAATAGTGACTTAGAAAATTGTGTAGGAGGGAAGTAATGCTGTAAGAACTAGACCACGGCAACCCTGTAGGCCTTTAAATGAGGATAAGCTTTTCCTTTTTCCAGTGTCTTAACAAACCCAGGAGGGGTGTCCTGATGGGCCTTAGGGAGCAGGGAGACACCACACTTCTTCCTGTAGAGTCTCTCTAGGTAAAGCTTGAGGAACAACAGAAAATCGGGAATCGACTCCAAGAAGCGTGGAGGGAGGCTTGGAGATGCTAAGGACCCCTCTGTTGTAGAAAGAACTTCACTTAAAGTGGCTTTAGTTTATCCCAGTGGACAACTGAAGTTTTGTCACTTAATTCTCTTTGTGAAAGTGTCAGAGCAGATGGAAGAAATCATTGGGCTATATTCTCCTCTCTTCCCAAGCTACCCCATAGAAACCTCCAAGATCCTGTGGAACACTGGACCACTCACTTGCCTTAAGATTGCTGGTATTTCCTTTAAGTTTAGACTGTAAAAGTCTGAATGATGAATTTCTACAAGTTCAGTATCTAATCCCAACATGCCCAAATGTTGTACATATGCTTGAAACTTAATTCAAGTATTTACTCTAGGTCTCACTTAGTATTTTTAAGCAGTTATAAAGCAAAAAGGCCAAATAGTTTTCAAGTAAGTGACTTTTATTTTCCTCTGACATTTCACAGTCAATGTCTACAAAACTTCATACTTCCTCAAAAGAATTCACATTTGGTAAAGGAATCTCTACCCTAAAGAATTCATAGCTAGAAAAACACTTGGATATATGCACAAGTTACTTTTCTGCTGAAGGAGTCAGTGAAGTCAGACAATACTATAATCAACGAACAGCAATGAGAGTAATAAATTACAATGTCATTAAACTCCATTCCCATAACCAATTCAATCAGCAGCTTTTTCTAGATGTGCTTCAATATTGCCAACAAAATCTGCCAGAAGTTCTCTTAAGGATTGGTTTGAGCTAAGAATGGCTTTGCACATTCAGAAAACAGTAGCTCTGCCACAGGGCATCATACCAGACCAAATCATGCATCGCTAAGACCACTACTACTTACAGCCTTGTGCAACCACCAGAGATCTTTGTGGTCAACTCCAAGGCTCCTCCATTCGCTGATCTGGCTTCTGGCCCCAAATGCCTGCTAGCTTCCACGGATTCTCCTTCCAAGATCTAGCTTCTCTACTTGGCTTCACCTACCTCCAGCTCCACTAGGGAAAAAGCACCCATGCTAAGAGATTAGAAAGACTTCCAGCACTAAGTTATAAAACCAGAGAAGTGAGGATCAATGATGGCTTTCATCATCTTTTACCGCAACAGAAAGGGAAATGCAAATCTTAATCTAGGAAGAAGAGTCCAAGAGGCTTAGAGCCCTACAGAGGGTTTTCCAATGGAATAAATTTCATTTTCGGCAACTGTGCTCAGATTTTGACACTCAGTAAGACTCATGACTCGTGCCCAGGCTGTTCTGAATGCACCTGTCTCTCTAGCTCTGCTGCCAAACTTATTCTGCCAAAAAGGAAGCTTCCTGGCGTGGTGTGCAGAGCAGAGCTGCCGTAGTACCACAGAGACTCAGAGAGGCGAAGCGGGTAGGCCAAGACAAAATTAGTCAAAGGAGCTGAGTCTGTTTAAAGACACATTGGCCCTGATTTTTGAAACTCTTTCAGAAAGCAAATGACAGGTAATAATTCTGCGTCGATCAGGAGTCTAGAGATTTTACCAGGTTGTTTATTTCTAAATCAGTCTTACCTAACTCATACATGTTTGAGAACAAAGTGGAGGCCATCCAAAACCTCGCAATTTTTCAACTATGTTCAAGTTATCACTATCTAGCAAGAATGAGCTTTAACTTCTTTCTAGCCTTGGTAAAACTTCAAGAACATTTTCCTGTGGAAAAGCTGGCCATCCAGAATTGTTATTTAGATTTTCAAGGGGATGGAATTTTTAAGTGAAGAGAAAGTCTGAAGTTTTCCTACTGGAAATCCAGTTTAGCTTCACAACAAAGCCAAAAGAATGTGTATCATCTGTGAATTCTCATCACAGCCTCCCTCCCCAGGTGAACTTCACATGAGCAACACCACGCCTCTGGGTTTGCTGCCAACACCCAGCACGTGGCAGAAACACAGAGGACGCTGCTGCCGATCGCTCCACGTCACTGAGAGACACGTGCAACCCACAAAAACTTTAGAGGCGAAACTGATAAGAATGTTTTCCAATTTGGGGGGGGCTTGTGTTTCATAACCTCAGGATGATTTCAATCCCAAGTCTATGGAGCTGAATAATCACTTCTTTTCTCTTTTAGAAAAACCAAAGAAAAAGAGGCAGCATAGGGTTAACTTACACTCACTCACTCACTCTCGGGAACCATGAAGCTGCCTTTAAGATTTTCATATCTAAAACAGGTTGTATTGTTTCAAAAGGAGAAAGAAAAAAAGCACAAATTACCAGAATCTTCCAGCTCCTGACCAACAGATACTGACCATGTGTTTCTTCAGATTCTAATTCAAAAAAAGCAATTCATCGACTGTAACTCCAGATGGTACTGCATCCGCTCCATACTTTAAAAATCTGAAGTTATTTTGCCTACCAGCTGAAGAGAAATCAGGTTTGTGATGAAAGTGTCAGAGTTAAATGGTACCACCTTTCCCCTTGACTTTCAAGTTTAAGGAAACAAAGCTTTAAGTGATTAAGCATTTGCATCCTGGGCCCAACCTGCGCCCAAAGTATTTTAGGTTTTGCCCAAATGGCATGGTGCTTAGAGGAATGCAAACACACCTCCTCTTACTTCTAAGATATTCAAGGGAAGATCTGTGAAGGGATCCTTGTCACCTACTCCCTGGCTTGACAGGTGTCACTCAGTGCACTCATCCATGCCACTGCACCTCTGATCACGGTTAGTGAGTGGGATGGTGGGAGGTGGCAGCTAGAAGAGCTTCACACACTCCTCTCTCCTGTTTTGCCCCGTGACCCACCCAAGTGCCTGCAGGCTAAGGAAAAGGGACTCAAGGACATCCCGAATCTGAGGTCCTCAGTGGAACAGAGACATGTAAACTGTGCATAGACCACAGGTTAAGACAGCAGCCAGGTATTGGCATGTGGCTTCATAAGTGAACCACTGAACAGTGTAAGTATAGGAGGACAAGCTCTTACATAAGCTTTGGGAAACAGGAGTAAGATAACGGCAAGAGAGTTAAAAAGAACCACTCAGGTAACAGGAAAATCTGCCTCCTGTGCTATATGTCTGGGTGACCAGGGAATGCTTCGAGGTCACGGCCAGCATGGCTAGACCCTGATGTTAGCGATGCCTGAAGCCTGGCCCAAGCCTGCGGAGCCCTGCTCCTGGCGGCTTCGATAAACAGCTGGGTCTGCTCCTTCAGCTGGTCTAGCTCCACCTGCGTTGCCTGGTTCTGACGAATCAGCTCCTTGGTTTTCAAAGTGATCTCCAGCAAGCCAGACTTGTGCAGGACCACTAAGGTGTTCTGAAAGCGCCTGTGCTTGCTGGGCCGCTGCTCCGAGAAGATGTCTGGGCTGCGGCAGAGGTGCTCTGCGGCCCACAAAGGTGAGCTGTAATTAGCTGACAGTGGTGAAAGCGGGGAGTTGCTCTCTAACCCATGCAGAGTACTGTCTGATGCACAGACAGGGCTGGCAGGGGAAGCAAAGGTCAGACTGGGAGCTTTAGCCACGTGGCTGCTGGACACTGGCTGAAGAGTCTGGGGACTTCCACCTGCCACCAGGGAGGGCACACCCTGCAGAGCTGAGTCCTCCGCTGGCTTGGCACTGGGGGGGGCTGCAGTCGGGGGGCTGGATGACACAGCACCCGTCTTGGTGGGCTCACTGGTGGGTAAGCTGGATCCAGGTCTCTCAGTACAGATTTTCTTCTGCATTCCACGTTCTCTTTCTTCTGGGCCAAGGGAGAGGCCCCTTTTGCCTGGGTGTGGGGCTATTTTGGTGTAAGAATTCAGAATGGGCAAGTAGTTCCTGGAGTCAGACCTTTTCTCACCAGCATGACAGCTGGCAGGAGATGGTACAGGAGGGTGAAGGAATAAAAGCTGTGGCTGTGCCGAGATCACTTCGAAGGAGGGCTGGACAGTCCACGACTGGAGCTGGGATGAGCTGCTGCCCTGAAAGCAGACAAAAACAGCATACTGCTTGTTACCTGCTGAAGAAGAGATGCTCCAAGCTCTGTCAAGGCGCAAAGCAGAGATTTACAACAATTTCAAGTACAGAGGTCCCTTGCATACGGGGTAGCCCTTTCTCTGGAATGTGACTGGAGAAGTGGCTTAAAAATCCATTTGGGCCTGCTATCGTAATTTTTTCTTTTTTCTCTTCTTTTTTTTTTTTCCCCTCCCTTCCTTCCCTTTTTACTTTTCCTAAGGGAAAACTGGAGGAAATATCTATTTTTTTCAGGTGCTATCACTCAGGAAAAGAAATNCTTTTCTTTTTTCTCTTTTTTTTTTTTTCCCCTCCCTTCCTTCCCTTTTTACTTTTCCTAAGGGAAAACTGGAGGAAATATCTATTTTTTTCAGGTGCTATCACTCAGGAAAAGAAATTGAAAGTAGGTGAAGTAATGACATACTTAAGGTCACAAATGAGGCAATAAAAATAGAGATAGTGTAATATCTTGTTGTAGCTAAAATGTGCTCATCTCAAGACTACAAATGTGACTTTACACCAGAGTCTGTCTTCATTTAGTTACATCTGGACCCTCTTTTACCTGAACACAACTTCTGATTAAAACACTACATATTGTCAGGAGTTCATGGGCCCCTTTTTTAAGGCAGTAATACCCGATAATCATAAAACCACTCAAGATAACAGTTATCGTGTACTGGTGCTCACTACAGGCTAGCACTGTGTGTGATGTTTCCCATGGGTTGTTTCCATAACAACCTCATGAGGTAGTCATCATTTTCCTTCACAAATAGAAAACTGAGGTGCAGAAAGTTGAAATAACTTACTTTAAGTCAACAAGATACTAAGTGACAGAGGTGGGGTGACTCTAAATCCCATCCTAACCATTTTGCTACACTGCCTTTGTCCTATCACTCTTCAGTTATACATTTTTTTAAATTAAAGTACTGAGTCCAATGGAAAGCTAATAAAGAAGGGTGTGGCTATCCATTTCCAATATTTAAAAGCCAGGCCAGTTCCAACCTGGTCCCAAAGATACGAGTGTGAAGGCTGGGCAGAGAAAGAGCCTGACAGAGGCTCTTGGTGGGCGCTCATCGGACTAGCTGAAGCAAGCAACCTCCCACACACGCACACCATTTGCACACATTTCGGCCTCCTCAACGCATCACTAGAACTTGAAGCCAGCTACAGTTCACCTCCTGTGCAAAGGTTGGGATGGCCCAGAGAGTCCATTCTGGAGCCTTCTTGGTATTCAGATACTCTCTGGGATGTACACAAGCAAGCAATGCTAGGCCTAGCACCACACTTCCCTGTCAAGCAGATCCAAAACTGGGTGTCTTTTGAAGCAGACATCAGCGTAGTCCACCTCAGAGAGGCAAAACATTAGGCTATTCCCCTAGTCACCTGTGCCCTAATGGTGGACCTACGAGGCAAACAGATCCAGAAAATATCTAATTCACTGCTTTCCTTAACTGATCTCACTGGATTCTTCACAATGCTACTATGCCCACTGCCATAATAGATACTTAGCTTGCTGGTTCTAATGATTAGACTTCACAATATATTATTCGTGTTGAAATCATCTGAGGGAACATAAGACAGATTTTAGACTTGGCTATAATCTCAGAAGCCTTCATGTGGCAGATGAGGAAACACAAGTGCAGAGTGGTTAAGTAATTGCGTGCAAGATCACACAGTCATGTGGCAGAACCGGAATCAGACCCTCAAAAGAAAAATTTCTAAAACCAAGACATTACACAACATACACAGATTTTAAAAAGTTCATCACTATTTTGATCCCGGGATGTGCTGGATTCTAACGCGTAGTAAAAAAACAAGAGGAAACTCCTAGATGACTCCATCAGGTCAGCCTGCCCCCAAGTCTCCCTCTGCTGCTGGAGCCCAGCAGCCTCCCTGGCAGGCCTTTGTCCTGGAGAATACAGCTCTGCTGGAAAAGCTACTCAGTCCTCAACTGCAGGCTGTTCTCCACCCCGGGAGCTGCCAGCCTGCCTTCAACAAGGCAGGCATATAAACACAGACACTCGAGAGAGACCAACAAACAAGGGAGCCAGAGAAGGAGGCAGGGAGACAGCGCCAGAGAGGAAGGAAGCCCTGAGAAGCATCACAGCGCTGGGCGCCTGCACAAGCTCTTTGGGTCTGTGACGTGTCTTTATTCTCTCTCCATTTCAATAAGCAGAGCTGTTCTTCCTGCTGAGAGGGGATTCGCTAGGCAAAAATCTTGACATTCTTCCAAACTCACCAGGCTGCCTTGCTGAAAATCAGTTTGTGCTCCTCAGAAATAACTAGGTGATAGTTAAGACATTAAGGTTTCATGTCAGGCTACAGCCATGTATGCTCTTCTACCTAAGGTGGAAAGGTCAACAACATGACGCCAATTTCAAATGTCACTAGCTTCAAGCAGCCTCATCAATGGACCCATGTGAGAGCTGATATATTTTAGAACAAAGCAGGGTAAGGTTAAATGTTCTTGAAAGCAGTTCATATGATTAAGTTCTCTGTTTCAAACATGGGGACTTAGATTTTCATCGAAATCCTCCTTTTTTGCATATCTGGACAATCATCATGTATTATTATGCATAGTTATGTAATCAAGCCCCAAACAGGGTACTCTTCAGCTCCACAGCAATGATGTGCAGCCTTGCTGGGACAGCCATAACTAAACCCAAGAGCTGCTTTTCCACTAACGACATGTCCTTGGCTGACTGCTAAGAAAAGGCTCAGAATGTGACACAAGAAACATGGAAACTGCTTCCACTTCTCAAACAAATAAATGCATCCTACATTTCTAAATTCCCAGGGCATTTCAAATTAAAAATAGATTCCTTTGTTTATACCCTAAATTCTGTCATATATTAACTGCACTATGAAAGTTATGACATTTCTGCTTAGTTCTTTTATACATGACTAAAGAATTCCCAGGTCCCTTTGGACAAACTAGAGATGCAGATATAAAATAGTCTTGCTGTCTTGTAGTCCTTTTTAAAAACACTGTCAGTAGTTGAAAGGAAACATCCTCTCCCCAGGACAGAGTGTGGCTCTAGTGTTTGCTTCTAAAATCCCTCCTGGGCAGAAAGGAGGAGCCTCTGCACACAGGAAGCTCAGGCACTTTAATTTGTGCACATCAGAAGATGCACTCCTCCTCACCTGTTTGACTAGCACGTTCTTCATGACAACCATGGGGGACAGTGTGGGGAAGGCACTGCTTGCAGCCTTGGAGTTCTGTCTTGGCCTGTCTTCCCGGCCCCAGCCTAGGGCACTGAGCATGTCCTCAGACTCCATCTGCTCCGCGGAGCTCAGACACTCCGAACTTCCATCTGGTGGGCAGAAAAACGGTCAGTTCACCCAGGCTCTAGGCTAGGGGCTCTCAACCAAGCCTCTTCGGGAGTGGCAGGACCCCCTGAAATTCAACAGAACATTTGTGAGATAGGTTTTGGTGAATTTTTCTGAGGAGAGGATCTTTAGCTTTCCCTGGATTCTCAATGGGGTCCATAATTATCACTTCCACCCCAAAAGATTAAGAATGACTGTCCTAGGACTCCTTTCTACCTGTCTTACAGACATAAGCCTGTATCCATTCGGGTTTATGTGGAAGTGATTATCACTAGTCTACAGGAGAATGGGTAGATGGCTTCAAAGTAGTTCATTACTTTCCAGAACCTTGTTGCTAAAAGGAGAGGGGAGTGTGTGCATGGCCTGGGGCAAGATTAAGGCCTTTAAGAGGCTCTGGTCACAAGATGTAATTATAAAAATAAAAACAAAACCAACTGGTAAACCTCGAAACTTACATCCATGCTAAAATCAAAATAGTTCTTCCTAAGTTTTCTAACTGTAAGTTCTGGATAAGTTCATCAAAGCTGAAGTTTAAATTGTGTCTATCTTTGTTGTTCCCTCTACTGGTTAGGCACCTCCTTTGTTGGTGCCCTAAAGGCAAACAGGCTGACTGGGGATCCTGCACATTGGATGATGGATACTCTCCAAGGCAAAGAAAATAAGATTGCCCTTCGTGAAATCCATCAAAAAGGACTTAATTAGCTATCTGCTGGAGCCAACCCACAGACTGTTGTAACCCTGCTACAAGGCGTCTGGGGATACCCTAAACGCTCATGAAGAATCTCAGAGTAATCTGGATGAGGCAGGCCCTGAATGTGACTTTAATTTAAATGAGAGCAACTGTCAACACTTGCACTTAAGTCAGAATCTCCAATGACGCTTTTTAGAAATTACAGATGTTGGGGTCGTCCCCTCAATCTACTGAATTGATTTATCTGGTACCCAGGCAGGTACATTTTCACAAAACACCACAAGCAATCCAAATGTGCTCCTCTAGTTAAGAACCATTAGGCCAGAAACGAAGGCCTCAGGAGCAAAGGGCATACCGGGTGCCTGGGTCTTGGTTTCTAAATGTTGTTCTGCATGAAAAGGAAACCAGGCCTCCTTGGATGCCAAGTCTTTGGCAGGGAAGGTACAAAATGAGCCTAGATATCTTATTGTCCCAGAAAGCAAGGAAGTACTCAAACACAAATGGAGGCACCTGGAAAAGATACATGCGCTAACTAGAAGGGACTCCCACTCGCAAAATCTGGGACATTCTGAGTACTGAAAAGAATAGTGATAATGACCTGGCCGGGCATGGCTCAGCGGTTGAGCTTCGACCTAGGATCCAGTCAATCGGGGTTCGATTCCCGGTCAGGGCACATGCCCGGGTTGCGGGCTCGATCAATGACTCTCTCATCATTGATGTTTCTGTCTCTCTCTCCCTCTCCTTTCCTCTCTCTGAAAGCAATAAAGCTATAAAATAAATAAATAAAAATTTAAAAAAAAAGAAAAAAAAAAGAATAGTGATAATGGATTGACAAACTGAATTACAAAAGAATTCCATGAACCACAGTGATACCCAAAAAAGGGGCTGGCCCTATCCGGTTTGGCTCAGTGGTTAGAGTGTCGGCCTGTGGACTGAAGGCTCCCAGGTTTGATTCCAGCCAAGGGCACGTACCTTGGTTGCAGGCTCGGTCCCTGTCCTGGTCGGGGCACGTGTGGGGGGCAACCAATCGATGTCTCTTTCACATCGATGTTTCTCTCTCTCTCTCTCTCTCTCTCTCTCTCTCCCCCCCCCCCTC